TTGCATTGAATATTTCATTAGTATAATTTTATCTTTAATTTATGGCTGTTGTATATATCCAATAATATTTGTTACTGTCTTATTATAAAAACTGTCTTATTCATTACATTGTTTAAAGAAATATACTGTTATGTATATTTCATATACATATATATTATATATTACATGACACATTATGATACTTCTTCAGTCTTCCGATGCAGCAAAATCTATACTCAAATTATGACTTTTTCCTTATTTTTCTAATTATTTTTGATTTTGTACAATATAATGGATGTTATAAATTTATTGTATAATATTACCATAGTAAGTTTTTTCTAATTTAATATTGGGTGCAGTTTCGTGTATCTTCTCATCTACCTAATGGAAATCTATGGTCTACACGATATAGCTATGTAGCGAAACTATTCGTAATTAGATAGTTAGACAGTATTATAGCAAGCAATTAGAATTTGGAATACACTAACGAATTTCCCTGCAAAATTCCCTTGAGACTTATATAGCTTTTAAAGCACCCTGGTTAATTTTAAATAAATAATAATGGAGTAAAATTTTAAAATATAGTTAGCTGACTAGTTATTATAATTATATACAGACAGTAATTTGTGTATGAATACAAAATATATCATGTAAATATTTCCATGATATATTATACAGGGTTATTCTCCATGCATGCTCAAACCCTTTCCCCCTTAATAATGAATTTATTTAAATTCTGATTATTGGAATTTTTAAATAATTTACTCAAAGACCATATTTTTAAATTCTTGAATTTTTTTCTATTACTTAAGGAGTGGCCTGTAGCTATAGAAAACTTCTGTTTTTCAAATGCTACCCCCGTCCTTTTTTTACTGTAAATTATTTAGTGGATATTTTTTTTTAAATGTTGATGTACCTATCTAATTTGAAAATAAATCGAATGGGTAGTTTCTTAGTTATTAATTGTTCATACAAAGGATAATAATCTTTAAAAACGGTTTTACAAAAGTATAAAATAGACATAATATTAAACTTAGTATTTATTATACAAATTATTAGTACTAAGTATTGATAGATTATTAATGACTGAAACTTTCAAGTCATCATAGCCTCAATATCTTATAAATCCATTACTATAAACATTTTATCCTTAAAACACAAAGTTAAATACTTAAATAACTCAAAAACAACTCCTACAAATTTTGATTCTGATATCTGATACGTACAATTTTTTAGAAAAATCACCCACTTAATAATTTACAGTTGCAAAGGAGTCTTCTCATTTGATAAATAGAAGTTTGTATTTCCACGGAACACTCCTTAATTAGTACCTACAAAAAATTATAAGAATTTGAAAATATGGTCTTTAAGTAGGTATATTTGAAAATGTTTTTTATTATTATTTATTTTTTTTGTAAACCATTATTTTAAAAAGCAATCCCAAGATACAATAATAATATTTATTTAAAACATTTAAAATTAACTATTCTTAATAATTTGATAACATACATATTACATATATTAATTTGATATTCAAGTTTACTTAATATTTATTTTTTTTGATTAAATAAATACGTATTGGTCCTATCCATTTGAATATATACAGGTTTTACAAAACATAGGGTCAATAATTAACGAGGTTAAAATTTTGAATACATCAACATGTTTATGTAAATAATTATTGTTATTTCTTATTACATTTAAATATTAAAATGTTGAAGTTATAATATACAAAGTTAATTATTATGTATATATCTTAATTTGTTTTATTTACGACTTAATGTAATTTACTTGTGAGAATTTTGTAAATTAATAAATGTAAATGAGTGTAATAATTTAAAGGGTTTTATCAGAGATCTTATCTTTATATGCTTTGCGATCCAAACTATATTTCTATGTTCGGTCCTTATGTGTTTCTGATTCAAATTTTAAAATAAATTAATTTCACCTTACAATTGGAATGCCAATAATGTGAACTCATTTCCAAAATATATGTACAGTAGGTTCTGAAGTATGTAATTAGAGTATTGAGAAATACAGTAGTGTTTTATAGATTTAAAGTTTGTAATTATTTACTTTAAAAAAAACGTGTTATATTAGATATATACGAAATTTGAGATATTTTAAGAGTCAAATTAATATATTTTATGGATTACAAAGACGGATTGTTTATCATAATAAATTTGAAAACAACAAGTGACTTATCTCTATTATTATATTCAAAAGATTATTTTTCAGAAAGGCTTAGTTTACAATACTTTTTATTAATAAAGCTATGATAAAACATGATAAAACCTTTTTTTACAACATATATTATAATATTTGAGTTGGATCATGTATCTTGAGTTATTGTTACAAATATTATAAAACTAAATCTATAAATAAATTATTATAGTATAATATACTGAAACTAATAATTTATTTTCTTGTAATTACAACTTCAAATGTTATGTTTTTCAGTAGTAGGTACATCATAATAAATCATTATTCTATTAATTAGAATTATTATTTTAATTTACATAGGTATCTATATATTATATTTTTTAAATTTGACTTTCGTAGTTTTCTACTATAACTTTTATTGATACAATAGTTCTGATGAGGCAGTTGTCCGGGAAATGCTAACTGATTTTTGTTGATAACACCTTATAGTATTAGGCACAGCCTACTTATACCTACTTACTTGGTTTCAGAAAAATACTGAACATCGAAGTATGTTGATGTTTTATTGTTGGACAGGAAAAACCATTACGTTCTTCTACGAAAGGGGTCGTGTTATAAAAAAAAACCTCCAAAATAAAGTGCCTGCGACCAGTGCGCGACACAAATCACACGCGAAAAACGTTGGCAGTGACTTTACAGTCGGTTTCATAAATAATTTTTTTTTTGTCTTTTTGTTTTTTCCCTGCCATCGCCCACCAGCAGGCGTGTTCGATATCCGTCCCGCGCACTTCCGCTGTCCGACGACTGGTCTTCGAACCTAGGCCATAAATCTTACACTACTGCACCCATAACGGTCAAAAATGAACGGACGGGAAAACCTTTTCCCGTAATGGAAAAAAGTGCAAAAATAATACAATACGGACTGGGAAAAAAAACTTTTCGTTTCGATTTAGGACTTTCATTCGACCGGGGGGATTTCGGACGAATGATCGGCAGTGACTCTAGTGGCAACGGCGACGGTTGCTGCGGCGGTCGACTAGTAGCCGATACCACTAATAAATAACTCAAACAATCTCTCCCCTGGTCATGTATGTTATGTCCAAGGTAAAAATGAGCCAGCAAATTTTTGTTCCGACAGGGCGTTTTCCAATTTAACTTGTGGTGTGATCACAGATGTAGTTGTGTTATGTTTGTGATTTATTTATGGTGTACGAAACTTCATCGTTCTGCTGTGTTGTACGAATATTTCATGAGTATTTTATTAACTGCATAACGAATAGAGTCCAAGCTCGTTGTTGATCAGCTAGATAATTATTGTTTGGATGTGATTATAGAAAGTACCACATGGCATATTATAATTTATAATTTTGTCGAATCTATATTCCATTAGTGTACAGATGGAGTACAGCCGTAATGGTTCATATTTTGTTTATTTGTTTATCAATGAAATAATATTACATAAGACATGAAAACACATTAATAACATTACACGTAGGTACCTATAGGTAAAAATTGTAAGTATAAAAATATGTGAATACAATTTATCATTAACTATATTTACTATCTATTTAATATTATTATTTTTTTTTTACGATCGTTACGGTAGGTAGCAAACACGTGTATGTGTGGCAAGGTTTTAAATACTATGAACCCGGGTGGTCATCCATCCGGGAGCTAGTAGTTGTGGCCGTTACTTATTCGCCCCTAACGCGCCACGCCAAGCCACATCAATATTGTACCTAATCATTATTGTCTTTAGATATTTTCAAGTATCATTTAAAATATTATATGTACAAACATTGAAAATGTGCGTAGTATATCATACGTCGTACTGTTATTATACTTGATTATGTTTTACACTATTTTTTTTTTTAAATGTGTTAAACATATTAGGTATTATATATTAAATATTTTATTGTAATATTAAACTAATTGATCCAGAAAGAAAAATATCAAAATAATTATAATACCAAATTAATTTTATAGCCAATTTTTACTTTGAATATAAACGTTTAGTAATTTAAATTAAAGAAAAATTGATTTAAAAAAAAAAATACAACTTATATATTTAATATGTATGTTTGTGTTATAATAAGTATAAATTAGTCTAAATTCCTGCCCACACTACTAATTATGGCAGAAATAATCTTTTAGACCGTATGATGTGCTTGGCTAAAGATAGCACCACTCATAAATACTGATGAAATTAGGTATTACTAGGTTAATATTATTATCTTTTATTATATTTTCTTAATCTGTCCAACGCGATGTCTTTTGTATATTTTATTTTATTACCTACTATTTAGTTGAATTTTATATATTGTATTAATTATTGTAATTTAAATATTACATTGTTGTAAAGGGCTTCGCCCGTTATAACAAAAAAAAATTATCTATTTTTTATTTAATTATTTTTTTTTATTTCAGTAGACTAGGTACAAACCATTAGCTAGTACCTACGTATAATTTTAACTATTAAATGCTAATCATAATTTAAATATGTAGAAATACAATAATATAATTGTTGTATGAATAAACGTTATCCATGTATTTACAATATGAAATTATAGTAGGTTTATTATTTATATTTATAGTTGATTTAAAGTTTCTTATATTTTTGTGGACCACGATTGGTTTTATAAGGTATTTCAACCTTGATCATGGTGGATAAGATAGATTAAAAATATCCTTGTTATTATTGTCAAGTTGAACGTCAACGAGAAAAACAGAGGAAGTGGATATCCGTTTGTATAACATTCGCTGGGCTTGACTAGAGTGTCAGAAGTATGAGAGGTGAGGATTGTATGGTACAAGTTTCTAATAACTATCTAACAAGGCCGTAATGACGATTGAAGGAATTAGTATAATATTTGGCGTTTGTAGACATCAAGACGTGATCGAAAATGAATAGCATTATAATTTGAGCGTCTTCGAGGACGGATAATCGGAAATGAAAGAGATGGCTTACCTGAGATACCGTTACTTCCGGTGAGTTGTAATGGCGTGTTATTCAATGCAGAGAAGTTTTTAATGTTTTTAATATAGATTGGTGGAACTCGAGGGGGTTGAAAGTAGCTTATTCGGAAAATGTTGAGTAAGATCTTTGGATACAATACACGATGTATATAGTCAACCACATTGTCCTCATCGTCGCCTGCAATAACTTGGTGAATCGGGTGGGTGAGTAGAAAAATTTGGTTTTTTCCCTTTTGGAATTTTCCTTGTGATTTGGTGAGTTTGGCGATGGTAGTACGAATTTTGGTTTGATGATTCGGCGATTTGGTGATTTGGTGATTTAATGAATCCATATTAACTCATGTCGAAAATATAACTTGACGATATTATGAATTCATAAAACAAACTTAGTAAATAATGTAAATTACAAATAGCGATAACGAAACTAACATAATACCTATCGAAAATATGGAATACCCTAAAGTAGATCAACAATTAACATGTATAATATATTATCTTAAATATTAATTATTAATATTTAAATATCTTATTAGAAGTATTCTAATCAATATTCATTGAAATCATAATTATTTTGTTACGAACTAAATTTGTACACAATATGCTGTCATCCAATAAATACAACTTTAAGTATTTAAAAAAACAATATTTTTATGTATGAATACTTTCTTTTGTTATTAAATATGTAGAAAGGTTTTCACAATTTTATTATTTTAGAGTTGAAAAGTAGCTTATTTATCCAAATAGTTTATTTATTCATAGGTGGATTATTCAAATTAAGATTTTAGACGGTAATTTCATAAATTAATAACAACACAACAGAATTTATTCAATGAATATCAAAAATAAAAAATAAAATATTACAGATTAGGTTAGATTTAAAAATTTAAAGTTTATGTACAAAATAAAATATTTTCTTTCTTATGTAAAAATATTTCCTTTCTCGTTTGTCATTGTAGGTGCAATTGTGAATTCCTTTTCCACATAAATGAATTGGAAAGTTTTTTTTGTATTGTGTGATTTATTTTTTTGCATATGTTTACAAACATCTTAAAGCCTATGTTTACTCAGTCTTGTACACTAAAACCAAAATGAGCTTTTTATTTATTTATCGAAAAGCTATTGAATAAAAAAAAGTTTATTACATTGTGGAAATTCTTCATACCTATGTATTTTGAAGTTCATTGTGCCTTATGTCCAAGATAGAATATTATGTATGGCTATTTATATCTATTTTGTTATATTATTTATGAATCGTTAATATTTATTCAAATTTAGTAATATTATGCTTAAATATATTAATTTTAAATTTTATAATACATTTATCGGAAAAGTATAAATACTAAATAGTTAAACATTGTAATGAGACAAAACGGTGTGGCCATCAACGTGGCGCACTCTCGTTGTGATCATTACCCACGGTCAAACATCGCCCGCCGCGTAGAAACATCGACCGCCCAACCGCAAACCGCAAACCACAGATAGCGCTCCGCCGCGCAATGATTAAACAACGCATGCCGCCCACGGAAAACCTGAGTTTTCCGTGGGAACCAATAGAGCTATCAAAACGTTACGAACATATTCAAAATCAGCGTTATTTTCACCATAATCTGGTAATCTCCAAACACTCTGAACAATAACCTGCAGTTTCGAATCACGCAAGGTGTCAGATAACATTCGAGACGGGACCAGCGAGCCTCGAATGGCATAAATACAGGCCGCTGGCCGCCGTACACACACAGTTCTCCAGCTGAGAGAAGCGAGAATAGCAAGCCGGACGGTATTTGTTACCGCCGAGAACGGATGCTAATTTCGAAACTCTATTACAGCAATTCCTGCCCACTAGACTCAATGAGCCGGACGGTCTTTTTTGACCGCCGATAACGGACATTGTACAGTCTTTCCCGGCACTCCCTACGCTACCGACCATCACGTGTCGAGAACGCCGAGCCGTCGCCGCCCGTCAGAGAAGGTCAACCGACTCCTGTGCCGCCTTCCGACCACTGTGCTGTACCCGTAACTCGTCGCCACCGTCTATTTGAGAACGCCGAGCCGAAGCTGCCGCCGTCCAAACCACGTGTCTGCCGACCTGTACGAAGTTGTGAACGTCGAGCCGTAGCTGCCGCCGTCCAACCATCTACTCACCGTCTGTCGAGAACGTCGAGCCATAGCCGCCGCTGTCCGGTCATTGACCTACCTCTTGCCGGTAGAGTTGAATTTGTCCTACACACCACCAGTCGAAAAAACCAACATACCGCCACGCAGAGCTGAGTCACTGTTGTTTACCGAGAGTCGAGCCGTTCACGCCGGTAATAATCAATTATTACCGTGCCGCCGTGATCGCGCCACTGTACGTGGATGCTCATTGCCACCATCGTCCCGCCACATACCATTCTACGAACCGTGAGTTAAATGTTCATGCTGTTCCCCCCCAATATTTTATGTAAATCCCATAATTAAAATATTTTTTATGTACACTCGCAAGAGTATAATATATAATAATTCAAAAGAAATACTGTATTACACATCACCAAATTGTATCTGTATAACGAATTATTACGTATGTGAAATAAACGTGAAATAATAAATTGAATAAATACCAACACGTTATTTTCCTTACATTTGGCGCCCAACTGCAGTGCTCGAGTAAGAAAATAATTCTACATCGACCCACGAGATTTAAAAAAGAAGACAATTTTGTTGAAGAAAAACTACATCGTGAACATGGCTCCAAAGAAGAATGTCACAGAAGAAGCATTTAACGCGTTCAGGGAGGAAGTAGAACGAAACAGTCAATATTTAGTAAATCAATTATTACAGAAAATTGAAAGCCTCAAAGAAGACTACGTCAGTAAAATAGAAAACATTGAAGAAAATTGGGCAAGAAAATTAGTAGAAATTGAACAAAAATATGAACTTCGGGAACAACGAGCATCACCACCACCAGCGCATAACTGTATAAATAATAATAATTTGCATCACACAGATATTGCACGACCTACATTTTTTGGAAACGGACGAGACATACATCCACGAGATTTCTTAAGTCGACTCGAGGAATATTTCGCCATTAAACAAACGTACGTGGGAGAAAAAATCATTGTCGTGGGAGATTGCCTAAAATCGAACGCGTATAGTTGGTTTTCAACGGTGCGTTTTCAATTATGCAATTATGAAGACTTCAAGAGAGCATTTATCGATGAGTATTGGTCCAGGGAAATTCAAATTCAAGTCTGGAGCCAATGCTTAAATGTGAGTCAGGTAACAGCAAATTACCGAGAACATTTTGCGACCTGGGCCACAAAATTGCGACACCTGGAGGTACCAAGACTATCAGAACCAGAAATCGTAAAACACATTGCCAAACATTATCCTGGGTACTTAAGAGCAATACTTGTATCACTACCTGAGAGGACAATAGTAGCTGCCATGAAAATTCTGGGAGAAGAAGAAAACACAAACGAAAAACCAGAACAGACAGCAACGGACCGCAATAACAATCAACAAAAAAGCAATAATTGGAACAATCAACGGAATAATGGATGGAACAGTTTTCAGCCGCGAAACAATCGATGGAACAACAACCAACCATACCGGCCAAACGATAACAACAAAGGTGGAGAAGCGCAACAAAAAAGCACACCACAGACTGAACAAATCAAACAAGTGTCAGTAAGTGCCGACCCACAAGCTGGACCAAGTAACAGTGAAACTTATGCAGTAAACTCATTAAATGCTACAAACGCATCGATAAGCCCGTATTTAAAGTGTGAGATTGAAGGGGAGGAAATGCTATTGTTGGTCGACACCGGAGCCACAGTAAGTGTGCTCACCAAGGAAGTAGTTGATGTGGTCACGCAGAGAAATTCCAGAATACCACAGTTCCCAGTCACGGGCATACAAATCAGCAACGCCGTAGGAAAGAAGATATGCAAAGTGTCTAAACAAATATTTTGTGAATGCAAGATAGGGGACATTTACCTACAGACTAATTTCATTCAGGTAGAAGGCCTAAATGAAAAAGGAATTATTGGAGCAGACATATTGAACAAATATTCAGCACAAATTAAATTCAACAAACAGACAGTACAATTCAACGTCAATAATATACCAATCACTGTACCATTCGCCAACAGAGAACCAAGGATAACCAAGGATCATCTGCTTAACGTAGAAATTAATGACAACTTGGATAATGACCACGTCAGTCTAAACGATCAAGAAAGTCAAATGTTTGTATCATTGTTAAACAAGTACGAACACATTTTTTCTGAACAACCTGGAAAAATTACCGAGTTTCAATGTCAAATACGTGTCAAACCAGGGGACCCAATTTACCAGCGACCCTATCCAATACCAGTATCGAGGATACCTAAAGTGGTGCCAGAGATAGCAGTAAAACAGCTGGTGGAAGAAACACACAAAATATATGGCCATTGCGGGACGTATAAGACATATAAACTGTTGCAGCAGGACCACCAATTTAAAAACATGTATCGGACGATTAAGCAAATAATCAAAACATGTGATCTGTGCCAGAAGGCGAAAATAAGCAATATAACGGCTAGGGGACCAACGTTAAGCCTCCTACCCACCGAACCAAGGGAAATGGTATCTGTCGACCTAATGGGCCCGCTACCCAGGGGACAGGGAGGATGTAGATACATCTTGGCAATATTGGATGTGTTCTCCAAATATATCAAACTATATCCGTTAAAAAGAGCCACTACCGACACCATAATAAAACGACTAGTGAGTGAATACATACCCACCATTGGTTTGTTCAAGAAGATCCTAACCGACAACGGAACGCAGTTCACCAGTACTAAATGGGAAAAAGTCATGCAAGGATTGAAAATCACCAACCTGCACACAACGATTTATCATCCGGAGAGTAATCCAGTAGAGAGGGCAAATCGGGAAATTGGCCGCCTACTAAGAACCTACTGTCATAAGCAACATACAAATTGGTTAAAATGGTTAGATAATGTAGAATACTGGATCAACCACACTACCCATACAACCACTGGTTATACACCAAACTATATAATGTTTGGGGAGAAAACCAAGTTATCAATAAGCAAATTGGTAGTTTTTCCTAAACACGAGGACCTGAAGAAACCCCCCGACATTATACAGATTGTAATGAAACGGTCAAAAAAGCAAGCTGATCTGCGAAACGCATACAAAGACAGAGATAAACGATTCCCTCAGTATAACGTGGGCGATCAGATCCTGATCAAAGAACATAGGTTATCCTCCGCTGAGGATAAGGAGACCCATAAATTATTCCTGATCTACCACGGACCATACCAAATACAAGCAGTACATAATAATAACACGGTAACTATCCAAATCAATGGAAGTCATCGAACCATCAACTTCAAAAACATCAAGAGATACTACAAACCCGTGAGCGGAGTATCTCAAACAAATAATTAAACAAAAAAAAAAAAAAAAAAAAAAAAAAAAAAAAAAAAAAAAAAAAAAACAATATATATGTCGACCAAAATAACTTGCTTGTGAATCCATGTAATAAACTTTTAAATTCTTATGTAACACAAATACCTCCCCACTATGTAGGAACCAGAAAGATGTTCGTACAGATTCCATTGACCAAAATAAAAAGCAGAAAGGTCTTGCACAAAATGGAGGTAACCCACATCGACAAACTGCTAACCATCGAAGAAAGACGCAAAATAGCCATGTTCTACCGTCAGGAGGAGGCAAAAAGAACTAGATACAACCCGGAACCCTCATGGAGCCTTCCACCTACCATGCAAGCCACCCGAAGACCATCTGCCACCGGGATGACGTGGGATGATTTTATCGCACATTGGGAGCAAAGACCAGCACCATGTCACACCCTAGCTCAACCACAGGAAGCAGCACCGACCACTGCACATGAAGAAAAAGAACAGTCGCCCCGGTCCAGTAATTTAAGTGAAACCGAATCAGAGGTTATCATCATGACGATAAAGCACTTAATCGACCGCCATCCAGAATCCCCGGTAGAGATCAGAAAGAGTATACTAAAGGTCGGAGCCTACTTGAAGGACTTTGAAAATGTTTCCAAGACTCGCCTGCGAAGACTGATCTACAAGGAGAAGAATCAAAGGATAAAGGGTATGAAACAACAATATCAACCATAACAACAGCAAACTAATAATTCACTACACCACAAACACACAGCGTCAAAATTTTAAAGTTTTTATTTTTATTTTTTTTTTTTTTCACTCCAAAATCTTCAAAAAAAAAATAATAAATAAAAAAGGGGACAATGTAATGAGACAAAACGGTGTGGCCATCAACGTGGCGCACTCTCGTTGTGATCATTACCCACGGTCAAACATCGCCCGCCGCGTAGAAACATCGACCGCCCAACCGCAAACCGCAAACCACAGATAGCGCTCCGCCGCGCAATGATTAAACAACGCATGCCGCCCACGGAAAACCTGAGTTTTCCGTGGGAACCAATAGAGCTATCAAAACGTTACGAACATATTCAAAATCAGCGTTATTTTCACCATAATCTGGTAATCTCCAAACACTCTGAACAATAACCTGCAGTTTCGAATCACGCAAGGTGTCAGATAACATTCGAGACGGGACCAGCGAGCCTCGAATGGCATAAATACAGGCCGCTGGCCGCCGTACACACACAGTTCTCCAGCTGAGAGAAGCGAGAATAGCAAGCCGGACGGTATTTGTTACCGCCGAGAACGGATGCTAATTTCGAAACTCTATTACAGCAATTCCTGCCCACTAGACTCAATGAGCCGGACGGTCTTTTTTGACCGCCGATAACGGACATTGTACAGTCTTTCCCGGCACTCCCTACGCTACCGACCATCACGTGTCGAGAACGCCGAGCCGTCGCCGCCGTCGTCCGATCAGTTGTTCGTCGCCGCCCGTCAGAGAAGGTCAACCGACTCCTGTGCCGCCTTCCGACCACTGTGCTGTACCCGTAACTCGTCGCCACCGTCTATTTGAGAACGCCGAGCCGAAGCTGCCGCCGTCCAAACCACGTGTCTGCCGACCTGTACGAAGTTGTGAACGTCGAGCCGTAGCTGCCGCCGTCCAACCATCTACTCACCGTCTGTCGAGAACGTCGAGCCATAGCCGCCGCTGTCCGGTCATTGACCTACCTCTTGCCGGTAGAGTTGAATTTGTCCTACACACCACCAGTCGAAAAAACCAACATACCGCCACGCAGAGCTGAGTCACTGTTGTTTACCGAGAGTCGAGCCGTTCACGCCGGTAATAATCAATTATTACCGTGCCGCCGTGATCGCGCCACTGTACGTGGATGCTCATTGCCACCATCGTCCCGCCACATACCATTCTACGAACCGTGAGTTAAATGTTCATGCTGTTCCCCCCCAATATTTTATGTAAATCCCATAATTAAAATATTTTTTATGTACACTCGCAAGAGTATAATATATAATAATTCAAAAGAAATACTGTATTACACATCACCAAATTGTATCTGTATAACGAATTATTACGTATGTGAAATAAACGTGAAATAATAAATTGAATAAATACCAACACGTTATTTTCCTTACAACATACCTAGTTGAAATGTATAGTCTATACCAGGGGACCACACCCGCGGATCTCGGCCGCCTTTGCCCTCATCGTAATTTTATGTGAACCGTGAATAAAATTTAAAATTTGTATAACAATCATGAATTAAGATTGTATGGACTGGAATCAGTGTGTTAAAACGTTGTTTGTTTGAAGATACCATGTTAAATTAATAAACCTAACGGTTGTGAACTTAAATAAACTAAATTTGATATGATTATACATTTTCGTTTAAAATAAAGTAAGGTATAGTCAAATTGTGGCCTGTGAAAAATGTTCTATTTATTTTTTGGTCCTTGACATCAAAAATGTTGCAGACCCCTGATATATACGACTATAATACTTAAATACTAAATTATACATATATAGGCGTTTTTACAAATACGCGAATTATAAAATGTTCGATATATATATGTTACAGCTAAAGTGTCGAATCCCGTAATTTTATGAATTAACTAGGTAGTTCATGAATTATCTACGAATGTTAGTTAGTGTATGAAATAATATATGAAAATAAATAATTATACTTTGACTCGTTATTTCATAGAATATCTAGTTATTCTATACAATTTTAGTTTGATATCCGTTAAAGTATAAAATACATTAAAATTTTAAATGATATATTAAAATATTTTATTTTACTGAATTAATTGTAATTACATTATTTGCAGCTGTTAACATTTTCAAACACCATTGATTTTAGAACAGTGCCTTTTTTTTTGATGGCAAGGTATACACAAATTCAAGTATTGCTTTACATCAGATTGAGTAATATTTTCATAACGTTTATTTATTTCATATTACATGTGGTCTTTACCCCCGTCTTCAATACAAATACGAATTTCATGTAAATAATCAAACATTTCTTCAATCATAACATATAATTTAACATTTTCATTTTGACTACTCACTGGTAGTATTAATATTTCATTAATATTTATTTTTACAATATCGCAATGTTTTTCTAACCAATAGTCATGAGAAGATTCCTTTTTTATTTTTATTTTTTTCACGTTTATCATCAACTTGCATATTTTTCTTTTGTTAAAACTGCACTATTTGGTTTTCAATAAATAGATTTTTAACACTATAGTATAAAACTTTTCTTTCATTAAATCTAATTCATTCGAATTCATTGTGAAATATATTAATACTTAAAATAATATAGTGTAGAGACAGACGAACCAACAGTGAAACGGAGCACCCGGTTGGGCGATCCGTGTCTTGAAATAAAGAACGCTGGATTTATTGGTAATCAGTGATCTCTATTGCTATGTGAAATATATTTTAATTATAATAGGGATAGCGTAAAGCGTCGATTTGTGTCGACCAGACTTGATAAGTGGGTCGACACAATCGGGGGCGCTTGGTTTATGATCGGGCAAGTGCCGGATCCTATATTACAAAGTGATGAATAATATTGATTGTTTATGTACAAAATTGAACGGGCCAGGGAGTTGGCCGCCGTCGGTACAAGCTTGATTAAGCGGTACTCCGACAGCGAACCAAACTCGGGTCGAACAACTTGAGTAAGTGTCGAGGTATTGTGAGTGGTGGCCCTGAAAAGGGCCGTTTAATAGTGTGACGTCGGAGTCTGTGGAACGGCGTGTCGTATCTTCGTTGTTGCGGTGCCGATCGATGCTGGTCCGCGTCGTGGAACGGTAACGTGGTTGGTGCTCGGCGATTGGTTGATGTATACTGCCGTAGCGCGGTGCGTCGTCGATATGCCGTCGGCCGGTATGACTCTTCGCCGTGTAGCGGCGTGCCGTCGATGTGTAGTCGGTCCGTGAGACTGTTCACCGTGGAGCGGTGGCGCAACTGGAATGCGGCGGTCTGCGGCCGTGGAGCGGCGCGTCGTCGATATGCCGTCGGCCGGTATGACTCTTCGCCGTGGAGCGGCGGGCCGTCGTCGTGTAGTCGGTCCGTGAGACTGTTCACCGTGGAGCGGTGGCGCAACTGGAATGCGGCGGTCTGCGGCCGTGGAGCGGCGCGTCGTCGATGCGTAGTCGGGTAATGCGACTATTCACCGTGGAGCGGTGGCGCTGCTGGCATGCGGCGGTCTGCGGCCGTGGATGCGTAGTCGGTTTGCGGTCTGGTCTGGTCCTTCTGTTCGTCTTGTTTCTGTTGATCAGGTACTTGTTGACGGTTTGAAGGTAATGAATAGACTGACTAGATTGTCGAAAATGTCCGGTATTTATACCCTCTTCGACAATCTAGCCCATCGCTCATTGGCCCGTGTTCTTCGTTATGACAGATGAAAAGCACACCGTTGTCTTGTTGTTTACCTTTGTTCGGTGTGGTTTTCGTTTGTCAAACCGTTCTTTTTTGTCTAATTATGTTTGTTGGTCTTGATAAGGACCGTTTTCGTTGTTGTGGTATGTTTGCTCCGTAACAGAACCCCCCCCAGATTTGTGCCGGGGTGAGAACCATCTAGCACAAATTTTCAACCGTTCGGAACAAACATGTTCGTTTCTGGGCTGCTTTGTAAATAGCTGTTCGTAGTTGATTATTGCTCATGTGGCATATCAGTGTTGGCTCTTTTCCTGTTTTGTGTTTTTTCATTGGGCGCTCATATTGTGCCAGTTGATTCTTCACGTAATCCAGTGCTTGAGCGATGTTGATGTTTTGTTTTTCGAATGGGATATATTGGTGTAATGTTGTGGTTGTTACCATTCTCCAGTCAACCGGTTGGTTCCAATCGGTATCCTGTTTTTTTCTCGCGGCATTTACTTCCGTGATCCATTGAGTGATGTATGAATGTTTGTCTTTATTTGTTATGTGTTCTGTTTTTTGTCTGTCTTTTTCCTTCTCCTTCATGTCTATTTTTGGATTTTGAATTTGACCATAAT